GGATATTGGTACCATCTGGGTAGGGTTGAGACTGCTGTGATTCTTTACAACCAGAGGAAACTGACCTTTCACAGGTTGGGGGTTCTCACCTCGGCCTTTGCTTTTTATCGCCTTTATGCCTTTGAGACCTAATTTTCTACCCCCAAAGCCAGACCTTTCCCCTAAGCCCCAGACTCCTATGCCCCTGTGTCTCTGGCATTTCTCCTCAGATGCTGTAATGATTGTGTCAAACCCGATTTGTCTGGAAAACCAAACTCCCAAGCCCCTCTTTCCTCCTGCCTTCCCTTCCCTTAGTGCTTCTCACTGCCTGACCGCCACAGCGTTCCTTCTTTATTTTCTGTGTCAGCTGCTGGAGTGTTAGCTTTCTATTGGCATTCACCCCAGACCCCCACATCTTCACCCATCCCTGCATCTCTGTGTCTAGTGCCTGGCACGTGAAGACTGTGGAGTAACTAGCTGTGAGCCGAATAAAGGTGAGACTGGCTCAAGGCCACCCCGTGTGGAGTGGAATCTGACCTTGAACCCACAAGCTGTCTCGTCAAGTGTCGGCTCTTGTTTTCTCCCCACCACAGCGGGTACCTGGGAATGGTGGGCGCTGTTACCATGCAGGGCAGGATTTGCTGGAGTGATGCGGTTCCTCTGTCTGGTAGAAATCACTGTCCTCTTGTGGGAGGGGCCTTTCTTGTTTGGAGACGTGAGGCGTCCTGCGTTTCCGGTCCCAGGGAATCTGTCCTGGTACTTCTTTTGTCCGTCAGAATGTGCCGGGACGCCATCTCTGCATTTGAAACGATGCTTCATCTCCTCTGGCGCTCAGCGCCTCGCACTGTTTGCCTCTGGGGTCATGCTAAGCTTGCTCAAATCGAAAGCAAAGCAGTAACCTGCTCATACTGTTTGCCATTCTGCCCTCCATGGTATTTGAGGTTTTGCTTAAAATAATTTAGGCGGAGAACTGCGTGTGCTCTCTGGTGCCTGCCGGTGAGACCAGTGTGGTGTCTGCTTATTTCAGATGATTTATCACAGACGCCCTGAACAGACGCGGCAGGCGGCGGCGAGGTGAAATCCTGTGTCGTGTTCTCGAAGTTTCAATGACCTGCTGGTGGTGTGAGCCAACCCACAGCTTGTCTGGAATGTGAATGCAGGTTCTCATGTAAAGGAAGTGCCTTTGTTCGCCTCCCAAACGCAGTTGCAGCATCGACTGTGTGATTTGAAAAGGGAAGGCTTATTGTTTTTACTGAGTTTTTCTGACTTCTATAATTATGTCGTTTCGGAAGTGCAGGAGGAAATTGCTGACTTCTCAGGCTAGGGCGTGAAGAAAGTTAAGTGTAGGTTTTCCTGCAATTACATGGCTGCCGTCTGGTGGGTGGGCCTGAAGGGGTACTGTGCACGAGGCAAGCTATGTCGACATCTTCCCCTTTGGCTGAGCTTACGCACTGGGCTCCACGCTCATGGAGGCCCCGCTGAGATCATGCTTTGTAAACTCCAAGGGCAAGCTGAAGGTTATTAAGATTTTATTTATTGGTTTATTTGTAAAAGATTTATTTATTTTATGCATACAAGAACTGGGGTACAGGGCAGAGGTGTGGGGGGAGAGAGGATTCGCCAGAGACAGAGTGGGGAGCAGGTTAGGCAGATCCACTGAAATACACAACTGAGGGGAGCAGCGGGGAGACAGGAGAGGTCTGCTGCGACATGTGGGTCACCTCCAGGGCTGGGGATCGAACTCGCACTGAAGCAGCTGCGGCCAGCTTGCAGTGCTGCGTCCTAACCCGTTGCACCACCAGGGAGGGCCTTTAGTGCGTTATTTCACAATTGGGATGGAAGTTTCCGACGTGACTGTGGCAGCGGGAGGTCCGAGGAGTGCAGCAGAAGGTGGATGGGCGGTTTCCATGTGTTCAGGGCTGCTCAAGGTCATGCCCTAAGCCGCGAGGCCACTGCTCATTCAGGCACCTGCCTCTTCCTGCCCAGACCTCTGCTTGCCGGTGCCTTTCAGACGCCCCACAGGGGTCTGCGCCTGGGGGCACGATGGCTTGCTTTCTAAAGAGGTGCAACCGTAATACAAGAAAAAGAACACAGGGGTGCAGAGGTCAGCAGGGCTCTGCCCCCCCGGGTGTGTGCCGGCCGCGCCCCCTTCCTGATGTAGCTAGCACCTGGCCGGCTCTGTGGGCGCTGCTGTCCCCAACTTTTCTGAGTGCAGCCTCCTTCCAGTTCTGGCGTTTTTGGTTAAATTTAGTTTTTGTTAAATTGAAAATTTGCACATAGCCTTATTATAAAAGAGCTGATATTTACAGCCACCACCCTCCCCCATCGCCTCCACAGGCAGCTGCTTTACACGGTTTCACTGATTCTTCTGATTGTTCCTTTGATTTCGCTGAATGACATGTGCTTATTGCCACTTGTAGATTTCTCACGGCGTAGTGTTGTTTATTGATGTGGAAGATGAAGAAAGTCACTTGATCCCTCTGCTGTCATGAGAAACACACACACATGTACACACACACATCACAGCTTCCAGCTGTCATATAATCTGACACGCGCATTTTATCATTTTGGCTTCATCCTCACCCATCATTACGCGATTATGACGCTGAAAATGCTGTCCACAGCTCAGCTGTGGGCATGTGATAAAGATTTCGCACAACTCTTTAATTATTTTGGAGTTAATACTTTTTAAAAAAATTTTTAGGGATGTTCTAGTCTGTGCACTTAACATTAATTCCATTCCAAATGCTTCCAGATTATGTCGATCTCCTCAATATCATCAGACACGTTAGGGGTCAGTTTCAGCTGTGGAGGTACCTGCGGAGTCCTCTGACCCCAGGCGGCTAGAGCTTGACTGATGTGGGCCTGTTCCCCCACGCTGCTCCCCCTCCTCTATGAGGAATAATTGAATAATTCCTGCCCCCTACAGGGCACCCTTTTAAATGCACAGTTTAGTGGTTTTTAGTATTTCTCAAGGGTGTACCACCATCATCACTTTCTAATTCCAGAACGTTTTTAAGTCAAAAGAAACTGTATCCATAGTGCCCTCCCCATCCCCGCTTCTCCTAGCCCGGGGAAGCCAGTACCTCTTCATGGCATCCTGTGCAAACCGAGTCTTGTAATATGTGGTCTTTTGCTGCCTGGATTAATTTTTCTGTGTTTTCAGTAAGAAACTCAACCTTCAACTCAGTCCAAACCTACTGTTAGAGAAGAAAGCCCCAACCTTTTGCTGATTGCCTCTTAAGAATCTTCTCTTCTTTTTTGACTTTTGGCTCCATGTCTAGTCTCACTTCTAGACGTGTCTTCTAGAAGTTATCAGCCTTTTCTGAGTTGCTCCATTTAACCAGACTATATTTTGGGTTCGCTTCCTCTTGCCAATCCAGGAAACTCGTCTGTCAAGTTCCTCGCCAATTGTCTGCCTGCTTCTTGCGTCTGCGATTTTGCTTGTTTCTCCTTTTCCTGAAGTGTGGTGCCTTTGGGGTTTTTTTAAATTGGTACTTTAACAGGATTGTGAGAGGACATGAATGTCGCTAATTCACTCAGTGTGTCAACTTCAAGCTGAGGTCCTGAAGTCTGTCCTGAGCTTCTCTGTGTGACGCAGGTCTCCACCCCGCCACCCCCACGCAGCGGCGGCAGCTGTGGTCACCCCGGTGAACAAACTCAGGGCTCTATCCCAGCCTCCCCTGGTGGCTGTGGTTCATGGGGTCGGTGGGCTGCAGGGGAAGCCCGGGTCAGCCCAGGCCCAGGGGTTCCTGTTTTCCCGGCCCTGGAGTTCCCCTGACTCTCCTTGCCTCTCCCTCCTGGTGCCTGGAAGTCTGGTCCTAGCGGCTTCCTTTTGCCCATCTGCCATCTCCTTGCGCGCGATCAGGCCACGGCAGC